CCCGCGCATCCAGTCGCCCCGTGACCCTGAATTAAACATTTGGTAGTTTGGACAAAGCACCGTGTGACGATGTCATCCTGAATTTAAGTTGAACATTTGGTAATTTCGACGAAAGACGCTGTTACGATGTCAAACTACCTTAAACGGCGTTCTTCGTATATGGCGATGTTAATAATACAGGATCTCCTTTCTGTCGCTAGGGCCTGTGTCTAATTTGCGCAAATAATGAGAAAATTTGTAACACTTCATGAAGCACATACTAAAAGGTAGAAGACAAAGATAAAATTACAAAATTCACAGAAAGGGCTGCTGGTGCCCTGTACATTGCAAATGACCTACGAAGTAAGCCGCAGTAATGGCAGAAAAACAGCCTGGTGTCTTCTTCTCACCGATGGAACCTGTGGCTGCTTAGTAAAGATGTTGTCCAGAAAAGCCAGGCTTCATATGAGCATGAAGTTGCATATTTGAGTTTAAACCGATTTAACTGAAGTGGTGCAAAACCTTGGAAAAGGTATTCCTTCCCTGGTTTTCTTTGGTTTAAATCTAATTTTTATCAGCTTTTATGTCACTTTGATTTAAATTAATTTCTATCAGCTAATCTTGTTTTAGTAAAAGTACACTTTCAAACTGATTGAATCCACATGGGGAGTGAGAAAAATAAATTTTTGATACATCAATTTCATTAAACGTGTTAACATTCCTTTTATGCTGTGGGAGCCTCAGAAACGCTGCTGTTCTCTAAAAACAAGCCTGACATCACATACCAGGAATCCTTGAACTACTAAAATGCTAAGTGATGCAAAAGCCTTTGAAACTACTCAAATACTACATGACCAGAAGGTTTCTTTGACTGAACAGCGCTGTGAAGACAGGTCATTGTTAGTTTTCACAGGTAAAACAAATGGTATAATTTGCAGTACTTTACTGCAAGTAAAGTTGGATTAGTGCAAAAGAACTGACATAAAAATGGCTTTCAGATGTCAGATTGAACTTGCAAAATTGAAAGCGAAAATACCTTGAACTGCTGTAATCTGTATTCTCTTGTGGCTTTAATCCTCCAAGGTATTTCATGTCTGCTGAAATGAATCGTATGTTATACACTCTCAGCTTTCTGGAAGAAATATCTATATTTTTTATTTCCTCTATTTAGGTCATATTTAATCCTTGCAATGTGCTTTCAATCTCAGTTAAAGACCTTATACAAAACTGCATCCACTTCTATTCCTAAATGAAATATACGTTTTATAACTCTTATTTATGAGTGGATTTAGTCTGCAGTGAGAACATATAATGCACTAAGGACTACACTCAACTTTATCCAGGATAATAAAAAACTAACTCTGCTCCTTAAATAAAAGCTCAGAATAAGATGGAAAGGCAGCATGAACAAAAATGTGGACTTCTGTCTTTCTCCCTGTAGGCAGGTTGGACAAGATGGTGCCAGAAGGGCTCCCTCCCTCGTCTCCTGCAGCAATTTGGGGTTATCCCCACAGACTTCTGTCCCCAGAAAACCTACGTGTGCATGCTGTGCCCTGGAGCATGCAGCATGTGTGCTTTCTGGCAGCCTATAGAAAATCTGCCTCCAACAGGCTGCAACATTTTTTTTGCTTTCTATAAGGCACTCTAAACTGAAAACCTACAGCAAAATAATAACATCTTAAAGCCTACAGGTGCTGCATGGGGCCTACAGAGGGCTGGGCTAAACCCTGAACTACATGGACAAGGCCGGTAGTCTTTAAAGAGAGTTGTGTTTTAGCAGCCACATTACCACTTGGCCTAGAAGCCAAGAATTGCTCCCCAAGGCAGATGGTGCTGTGGCCTTGTGTCGGTATTTTAGTTGCAATCAGGTCTGCACTTTCTAATTGAATCTGCATTTATCCCTGCTACTGTGCTTTGGTTTTCATTGCAAAGTGCTCTTGGGGCTTCCAGATTTCCTTTCAGCTGCAGTATGTGATCTGCAGAACGAACTTTAAATCCTAATGGCCATTAAGTCTATGGGGTCAGGCCAGAGCTAATTCAAAGTAACCTCCTTTAAACTTTTAGTGCAGGTACCTGGTCCCAGCACCAGCTGCTTTTCTCTGTGGATCCACACCTATCGGGTCACGCTGCTTGCTGTTGCAACGTAGCCTATCTGATCCAAAAGCAGCGTTGTCTCGCAGTCTCCTAGAGACTTCAGACCCATGGTATGACTTGGGCTTTCATTACCTGATTGTAAAAGATGTCCTGGCCAAAAAGAGGAATCTCAATCCAGGTGCCACCTCCCCCAGTCACAGTTCAGTTCTGAAAACCACCTGGTCACTTAAATCCTGATATCCTCACATTCATTTCTTGCCTTCTTTTTCTTCCCTAGTTGTATATCTCCTTTTCACTTCTTGACGCTAGCTTTCAGTTTAAAAACCATCTGTCTTAGGTGACCTTTTAGCAGCATGCAGTGAGCCTGTGTCCAAAAAGGCAGCTAAAATCAATGTCTAAAACAGCACAGCGTTGGTACATTTGCCAAGTCTCACAGTGGCTGATAAAACTGTACTGAGCCTGTTTTTCTCAAGCAGTCAGGCTGCCAGTAACAATCGGGACCACAAACAAAAGCTGCATTTTCAATCACTGCTGTTCTTTTCCCTTCTGTTTTATCTGTGTTTGTCTTGTTTTCACTTTAAGGAAAGAAGGCCAGACTCCAGTAAGGAGATTCATTAAGATCCTCATATCCAGCTGGTCTTTTCTTTTATTCCTGTACAATCATTGCCACCTTCAATCCAGGTTTCTGAATTGGCATCATATGTTGGGTTGAAGCCTTGTCCAACTGCCCATTCATGCTCTTTTGTGGCAGCTGCAGCTCATTCATTCAGAGGGCAGCCTCCACCCAGCGCTAAAATCCTGGAAGCCTTAGCTGCAATGGAACGTACTGCATCTCGTGCACAGTGGAAGAGTGCCCATGGCACTGTGCTGGAGCAGAAGATATACTCCTTCTCAGGGCTCTGTGCATTCTGAAATTGAATCCATCCCAGGTTCCTCATCACAGAACTCGTGCTCTATAAAAAAAGAGAAATGAAGAAATACCTCACAGTTAGAAAAAAAAGGGTGGATACAGTCGAAAACTCATGCTCAGAATTTTTTTTTATTTTCAAATATTTTAGCTGGCTTCTCATTTTTCATGTGGTATCATAAAAACCTACAGTCTTTTCTAAATGACAGTTGTTGCTGCGGTACTTAGAATGTAGAATCAAACTCTCAGTTTTGTTTGAAATTGTAGGGTAATAGGTTTGCTTCAGTATCTTTGACCCTTATCCCAAACAGACACCAATCCTAGCATGTTTGGTCAGTGAGAATTAAGTTTCTAAATGTCATTGAGGGTCTCAGCTTGTGGCCCTGAATATGGAATTCTGTTAGGCTAGTTTGGGGGAGGGTTTTTTGAGAGACCCACCATTCAATTACGTATAAAATCAATCCATGTAAGGGATTAGCTAAAGTTACAATAGTTACAGTAGTAAAAATTCATTTGCCTGGAAGTGTGAGAAGTATTACTCTCAGGCAAAAGTTTAATTTGAGCAAATAATGGGATGATAAGATGAATACTGTTTTTTCTTTAACAAAGACCTTGGCCAAAGAAGGTAGGTACTCCTATCAGAGTATCGGGCATCTCTGTATCACTGGGTTTGTACGTAAACAAAATGTACCAAATGCTGAAAATCCACCAGATGGCACACTAAAGCCTTGATACTGAAAAGTGCCGTCATCCAAAAGAAGGATAATAACTGCATGGCAGGCCAAAAATTTAATCTGTATTACAAAATGCAGACTGTGCCTTGTTCTGTCAGTGATTACTAGGTCAATCTTTAATAGCTAGGAACTGACGTAGAGAAACATTAAGGGAAAGAAATGGGATAAGACAGCAATTATGTTAATTTTTTTTTCAGCTAATAATTTGTATTGATTTGCAGTGACATTTATGATGTCTGGGATGGACATCTCCTAAGAGATGGGGACTGGCTAGATTTGCCTTTGGCCCTTGATTCTCCAAGTAGGTTGCTGCCTGCCAGGAAACGGCTGATACAGCTGGCCATCAGTATTGCCTACACTGTGAATCACTCTTCTGGAGATAAAACATCTCATCTATAAATATATTACTGAAAGGGCTGTATACAAGTAGCTCCTTGGCCTTATATCTGTGGAAATGAGAGAACCTGCTGTAGGATGTAGGATGGCTGGTGCTGGCTGTGATGCTCCTCTCCAGCTTTGCTCGTGTTTGAAGGCATAGTTTCAATGATGGAGACATCGTGACCTGTGGCGATCTGGCGGTTGATGTGATGCCGAGTCTCTCCTCCGTGTTTCCAGCCAGAGAGTGAAGTGTGTTCAGAAACTGACTGAAAGTAAAGCAAATAATATGTGAACGTGACTTTTCCCACGCGTACAAGAGGTGATGTTGCAGCAGAAACAAGGGAGGGAAGCAGCCTGTGCCAATGTAAAGAACATTAAGGTTTTTCTCCAGCATTGTAAATGCTTCTGATGAATTGTGTTAACAAATGAGAGGGATGCACAGGTTGTATATGGGGGAAATGAGGTGTCTCTTAATAATCTTGGCTGTGTTATTTTGCAGTTCATACTCAGAAACTTCAAGCAGCTCTTTACTTCAGCTTTTTAAAAATTGTTAGGAAAGAGAGGAATTAAGGATCCACAGGGGATTGCCTCCAGAAAAACCAGCTGCTATTAATTTTAAGAGTAGAAAATGTCTTTTTGCCATCCTGCTTTATGACTCCTGTACTTCTTCAAGATACTACAAAAGACAAAATAATCTGGTTCTACTAGTTCTCTATATTTTTAATGTTCGTATCCTGTTAAATCACATAAGGAATTATGAAGATACATTTATAATGAAATAAGGAACATTCAGACATTTAGACCTAAATTCTTGCTCAGACAAAACTCTAGAAATTATATAGTTTTTGGTGAGATGCAGGAATTTCTTCACAGAAAGGGTTGTCATGCTCTGGAATGGGCTGCCCAGGGAAGTGGTCGAGTCCCCATCCCTGCAGGTATTTAAAAGACGGGTAGATGAGGTGCTCAGGGACATGGTTTAGTGGTTTAGTGTTAGGTTAATGGTTGGACTTGATGATCTTAAAGGTCTTTTCCAACCTAAATGATTCTATGATTCTATGATTTTTAATTTATAGTGCTGTGTCAAATTTTGCATCTATTACTTTTTTCTATTTTTTTAATGGAAAACTGTTAATCTTTCTGGCCTGGAGACCATGACCCTAATCCGAAGAGTCTGCCATTTAAGAGAGATCCAAAGTAACCACCCATTTGAATGACAGGTATTTGATTATACCTGCTAGGCTGCTTTCAAACTAAAGCCCCAGTCCCACAATCTGATTTTTGCAAGTGAGTTTCAGGAACATTGACACTTGAGAAGTATTAAAAAGGAGGATGAGGAATTCAGTTACATGGATTTTTTTTTTCTTTTCATCTACAGACTTTAACAGGTAGATCAAGTATGACCTGTATTTATGGTAACAAATTATTCTGTTTTCTTTTGTTTGTATTTTCTGATGCAGTTAAAGTTATATGCTTTTCTATTGAAAGGCTGGAAAAACTGAAGCTTTTACCCCAAATGGAATGGAAGTGAAAGCCAATTCATTTTTGAAGTTCAAAAATGTAATTAGTTTTTGTCTTTTGACTACATGGTTTTGTTTTGGATCAAATATGGACTTGTGTGGATATCATCATAAAAGTTGTTCTCGTATTTCCAACCACAAGAATGAAAAAAATACCTCAAGTCTGATGGGAATTCTGTTCTATATTGTAAACCAAAGAGGCTGAGTAAACATCATAAAATTTGGCTGTTTATTCTGAACAAAATTTCAAAAAATGCTGGCATTCCTTTTACAGGAGTATCTGTTCTTAACTTAAAAGATTTTGATTATTTTGAATCAGTATATGATATATAAAGACCTGCCTAAATGATAAAGAAATTCTTCCTCAATCTCTGCTTGAAGGCAAACATAAAAAAAGTCATCAGTCATAAAACAATTCCAGATATATTATTTTTCTGTTGCCCTTTTCAAGGAGTGTGTACTACTTCAGAAACTCTTCGATGACATTGATTTTCTTAGAAGACCGGAGCCTTTGCTGTCAATAGCAGCATTACCTACCTTCAGCCAAATAAAGGGTGGTAGTCATTATTTTGAGAGGATAGTGAAGAGCTTGATGTCACCATTTCCACTTGAATACTGTAGCTGTAGGTGCTGAAGCAAATGCACCTGCAGTAGCTTTGGTAATCTCCAGTGTGCTGTGCCTATAGTAGCTCTTATCTTGAAAAGCATTTGAGTGTCACTCATCTCTGAGTGACTTGGTGCTGGGTATCACTTGATGCCTGAATGATATCTCTGAATGATAGGGTGTAAGAACAGACATAGCATAATCTTTAGGCAATTGCCAGGTTGTCCTTGTTTAAAGAGAGAATTTTCTGTTCTCGCT